GTTGCAGATTCGCTACTTTAACATGGAGCCGATAACATGACATCTCACTGATTTGATTTTTTATGCATCCGAAAACTTGTTATCTGTTAAATAGAACTTTACAGTTATCAATCACACGTTAAGAAACTATCCCTGAATAGAATGCTTAATTGATATCAATTTAATATGAATTAATAATTGTTTTTTATTCAGATATACATGATATAGAGAGGAATCGTTTAAAAAAATTTAAGTAAACAGAATTAAAATTGGAATAAATTCTGAAAATAATTTAGTGATAAGATTTTTACAGAATCTATAATCAATTGAGTTTCCGTAGGATTAACAAAACAGGACATGCGTTTTTTTTATATTTCAATGAATGGAAAATAATTTTTAAGAAACTAAATTCCTTATAGTACGTACACAACTGTTGATTAAATGTTTAATATCATCCAAAAGCAATACACCACACAATAAAGCAAGGATGGGACCTCTGATATTTTCTCCAGCACACAATAAACTGGAATCCTTAATCGTTCCAGCAATGGACGGACCTCCTTATCATCCGCTATTAAATTAACATTAACATTCCACAATCCTTTATGAAAAAATAATAGAAGAAAAGCCCACTAATGCCCCACCCGGGAGAGAGGCATACAGACGGATAGGGAGAAGACAAGAAGAGAGGATGATATACATTTATAACTGTCTGAGCGGGTCAAAAGAAGACGGCCCCACGATCATTATTATTAACCTTAGGGCCCCTAATAATACGCCATACACACATACTAAAGGCTTTTTGTCCCGCCACAGAAAGCCAACTCCAAAAGGTAGCTCACGAGTAAAAATAAAAAGACAAAAATGAATTCTATACTCCTCGTATTTTATTATTGTGTTTTTTTATTGGCCCGGCTACATAAGTTATGTTTAAGTGTATACCGAAGGCATTAGAGGTTCCGGACAAAAAAGGTTCGCCTGCTGGAGTGGGGATGGGCCAGTCTATCACCAAGGCCAGGCACAACAAATATAATCATATTTGTATAAATGGTGGTTAATGGTCAGCTTTTGTGAACATGGACAATGGTTTCTGTGAATGGTGCATGGTGTTCCTCCAGCCAGCTATGGAACCACAATATTATTCACCTTTATCTCACCTAACTGCTCGTAATGCCTTCCACTTTATTTGTAGGATATCCTTACTCCTTAGAAGTAATACTAGAATCATTGGAATCAAAGGTATATATAAAAGAGTTATCCTTGAGACTGTTGTGGCCAACCATGTTAAAAGCTTGGGTTGAAATTTATTACGTCGGAGAATCACGGAAGGAATCTCAATCTTCGTTAGCAGTTGAGAATAGGTTTGGATGTTACTCCAGAAATGTTACTTCCCCGTATGACATTAATGGCAAGGTAGGAGGTAAACGAAAAAAAAGTACCTAAAATAGTCTTAAATCAGAAAACAGATCATCAGAAAATTAAAATGATATACTTTCTTCTTCTTCACTGTCTTTCTCCTTATGTCATATCTACACAGTGGAGAGACCTAAATCCAACGCTGCCAATTCTCAGGGTCTCTGCAGATTCGCCTCATTTGTTGGATGTTTTTAATTCATATTCACACTTACACATTCTATATTCATCTTGAGTATAACTAATTTTAATTGAACATGAACAAAAAAAAACTATTACAAACAACCAAAAGAGGATAAGTTTTATATCCCAGTTGTAAACTAATTTGGTGACTAAAATATCTAAGAAAAAAATACGTAGATCTTTACCAAAATGTTAAAAATAAGCATAAATTTCAAATAAAAATAAATAGACTTAATGCTAATAAAATTATAAATTTGAATTGAACTTAAAATAACCTTTTATAAATATATGACACTTTAACACATAGATATATGAATTGCAAATTTTTACAATCAACACATTTTAGAGATCCAGTTTGGATGTTTATTTGTAATATTTTTCAATTATAAATTTATTTTTTAATTTATTAATAAGTTTTTTACAACGATGTTCATTAGAAAGTCTTATTATTTTCATTAATTTAATTAAACCTATTCAAAAATATATTGAAGCTGATTTCGAAATACAATTTCAAAATTTACCCATTTTTTTTTTGTAATTTAATTTATCTCAATCGAAGACTTGCGTTTTAGAATTGGAATCATAATTAAAAAAAATCTTAATTTCAGTCTACATCTTAAATGAGCTATTTTCAAACACGTCAAACCCTTTAGTTTAAATAAAAAACTACCTTTTTAAATCCAAATGTATAATTTATTGTAATAATCTATGGATGATATAACATTATTTAAAGTTACTCTTCCATTAACTTGTTCATTAATACAAAACACGCGAGATAAAAATCATGGTGCAATTCAATACATTTAAAATTAATAGGACAATAAACTAATGTATTGATTCATATTTGACTTCATTAATGTAGTATTAAATAAGGGGTTTTATTATTTAATATAGTAATATCAATAGCTTAAATATCTTAGAAGCAATGACGTCACATGAGAACTACTTCAAGAACAGAACGGGGAAAGTAAATGTAATTTTAATACCATCGATTTCTAAGCTTTAAATTTTATATATATAACATTACAAATATTAGATGTGATAGTATGGAAATGATTTTTATTTTTTTTTTTTAGTGTAAATAACATTAATATGTATCAACAAATTTTGTTAATTTATTCGGTTAAATCCAGTTCTAATCTCACATAGAGATACATATACATAACGGAAGTTCTAACAAAGATAAGGCTTGCACAATATTTCTTCATTCAATTGTCTAATTGTTACCTACGTCAAACAATGGATCATTCGGGACCCAATTATTATTACGATTTTTTTTTATTCTTTTATTCTTTATTTTTCATTAGTAATTGTTCCTCTACACCAATAGTAAACAGTGCACAAGAAGAGAATCACATATATAAGTGTAGTAAGAGTGAAAATGAGAAAAATACTATCACATGCCACACTGACATTCCATATAGGCCCTTACACGACAGACAATGATTTGCTTTCTGGAGGTCCCATCGCCGAACTACTGTATACGCGTAACAAATCGATGACAATAAGTCAACAGATCAACGACAGGCTGGGGACCCGTCGTGCGAGAAAGTCATAGACTGATTGACATAGCAAAGCAGTCCATGTTGATTGGATTTGGCTGGTTAGAGATGCCAGGGGATGTTTGGACATGTTAGTCAATGTGCAACCAAATGCATTACACAACCACTCCATACAATATACCTAATTATTGCATATCACGGTATAATATCTCTTGAACTATTGTATTAGACATTATATAAATTAGATTTCAGCTATAGGCATATTTCAAAGGAAGTGTAATCTTAAATTAATCTAATAATCACTGTTTATTTTTTTTTTTGAGAGAGTAAGAGTAATACCAATATGTATTACATTATTTATTAATGTTTCCATAGAAATAGGATATAATCCAATATAAAGAAAATCGATAATTGAGTTTATACTTATAATTTGGGACCTGACCATTTGAGAAACAGTACCATACTCCAAAACAGTACCATATCGTTACTGTTAATGCAAAAGGTCATATGTAAAAATATATTATTTTTATTTTATTTATGCTAAAGGTGACATTTTTTGGTCTAAAACGAGTAAAAGTAATCTACTACTATGGAAAATAGTAGAGGGAAATAAAATATGAAATCATACTTTAAATCAGAAAGGAAAGCCTGTTTATAATGTTCTTCTGTAAAATAATAAATTTTTATACGCGACATTTTTCACTAATAGTAGGATTAAGCTATTTTTTTCCCTTCTTTTTTGTTTTTTTTTTCTTTAAATAATAAAAAACATTATCATCCTTTTAAATTTTCTTCAAAAGAACAAAGAAGAATCATATTCTACACACAGACTAAATGCTTAACGTGAGTCCAATCGTTTCTCCTCACCTCACGCTCCTCGTTTACTTAATATTAATTTTTTATTAAAATTAAATAAACAGTATTAAAACATGTATTAGGTTAGTTAATAGTGGAATCAGGAACGTTTTTGAGAAAGTAAAAAAAAAAAAAAAATACAACACCCAAATAAAGCAAACGTTATTCTTAGATATCATCAGAAATCGCGCACTAATACCAAAACATACAACTACTTATTGTTACTATGTTGTAATTATGGAGTAAGTACGTTTTGGAACGCAAATCTTGCCTAACTATAATTTATAATATTTTCACTATTGTTGCGAATGTAAAATTGTTGAACTTAGTAAAGAAAGAATTCCTAAAAAGTAAATATTTGCTGTGCCGATTGGTAAACGTCCGAGGGGTAGACCGAAGCGAAGGTGGGAAGATTGCGTTAAGACCTGAAGGTACTGGGTCCGGCGACCGGTGGAAGGAGGTGAGTAGACAGCGGTTGGTGTCGTCGGCATCGAACCTTCGTATTCGCTAAACCTTTCATTATTATTCTCTTTTGTTAATTAATCATTACATTTCGTCGAATTATAATTAAAGTTAACGGTGTATTTCAAACAATAAATTTTGCTACAGTCTCAATTCATAAACCATATAAAAAAACAGGACAAAAGATGTAAACATTATAAATAGAAAAAAAAAATTAATAAATATAAGTACCTTTGCTTATACTGGTCTAGTTTTTATTTTTTTTATTATTATTATTTATTTTTTATAGATTTAAATTATTTTTTAAATCAGTACATATTATTTTTGAGACACAAATTTTCTAGTTATTCGTGAAACTAATTTAATTTTTTTTTAGGTTTTATGATGATTTTTTTTTCCCCTAACACACCTTTATTGTACATTTACATCGTAAGGAGAACTAACATGTTTTTTGGCACTGTCATTTTTGAGTCAGAGACTTCCTTGTTTTTATCAAAATTAAAATAATATCTAGGTTTATATACAAAAATATTAAGATATATTTACGAAAATTTGAATCATATAATCTGATATAATTATAATTTTGGAACCGCCAGGGGTATGAAGATGATAGAGAATGATAGACAGGTGATGTGAGCGTGGACTCGTTGGGAATCCAATCCCAGTCAAACAAAGGCTCCTCATAACAACCCCGCAATCATTAGTACTAATTAAAATCGCCGCCGATAGCGGTCGTAATAATATATTTTATAAATTGTAATGTCTGCCTGAGGGGAGGGGGAATTGTACTCCGGACTACTATTATCTTAGCAGAGACTCCTCAATTGTTCCTCACAATGGCCTTAATATACCTCGACGATGGTTAAAAATAATGGAAAGTTACAGAGGGAAAAAAGAAAATTCCGGTGAAGGTAGAAGTTGGGGGCAGAGGTTGGACCTAGGAACAAGTTTCTGTCGCAGGGCCTAAGTTGGTTTACGCCCTTCGGAGTTTCCCTACAAACGACTTCTTGAATAGTCCTTCCACGCTTTAAATACTTAGCTTTCTCTTGCAGGCTAAGTATTGTCCCTTTGGCTACTATTTCACCGACTGATACATTAGATATAGCTCAAAAAGGAATGTTATTGGTCATAATAATTAGTACCAAGAATAAAATAGTATAAGCACATTTAAAAGAGCATGCTAACACATTAAATTGCATTGATTGATAAACAATCAACAAATATATACAGTCGATTCTCGATAATTCAAAATAATTTCACTTTTTCCAAGGCACGATTTTCATATTTTATGTGTGGAGAGTGAATTAGAGATTGAGCCGTCAGCTATCCGATGTGTAACGCTTGGGTAAAGTCGGCTGGAGTCGACTAATGAAGTGTTTTTGCATATAGATTAAAAAATCTCAAAAACTAAAAACCAGACCTACATATCGTTAGCAAGAGAATTTTTCATCATTTCATCCTCTTTGTAATGAGCTATTATTCAAAATTATATCTTAACGCGACACCGTATTAAGAAGGAGAAAAACAGTGTCGCAAACCAATTGATAATGAGTTTTATAAAAGATACGGATTAAAATATCTCAGAAACTAAAAGCTTGCATACTGTAAAAGAGGAAATTGTTTAGCATTTCATCCTCCCTTTAATGAGCGACTATTCAAAATTCCATCTTAAAGCGACGCCGTGTTAGAGAGACAAAAATGAAAAAAATAGTGTCAAAAAAGCAATGATAACGAGCTTTATTGAAAATATGGATTAAAATATCTCAGAAACTAAAAATTGGACCTGCATACTGTAAGCGAGAGAAATGTACATATTATCCATCCCCTTTATAATGAGATATTTTTTATAATTTATATTTCATATTATTAATCTCTCCTTGTTGATGTTTTTACTTCTATGTTATGGTCAAAAGCGTTTTTTTTATTTTTTTAATAACATTCTCTTTTTTTTTTAATAACATTTTTAAAAGCTTGTAAACTTTATATTGATTGACTGATACTTATCAGACAACTGCCTATAGAAGAATGATAATCGACTTGCTGTCCATAAGAATCGATAATATGTAACAACTTTCCCCTATAAGGTTACATTACATAATTAATCACATTACTATACGTACATCATATTGCTATCGTTATGTACATTTACAATTTGAAAGTAGGATCTTTTTTTTTTCGTTGTCGTTTTTTTCATTAAATATCCTACATGGCGACCTGAGGACATTTACAATTCATGAGGCCCCTTCCCTGTGTATAACTGCTCCTACACTACACAACATGGAGCGTATATCATTGTAACTAACAACGTTGCAATAGAATGCATTCAGTAATTTCCCTCAGTTCTCAGAAGTTAGGAAAAGGGGAAGAAAAAAAATTGCAGCCTAGGAAAGCCCGAGGCAACCTAGTTTCTGGAGATGCTATCTCAGAGCTCAATGAGAGTCGGGATTTATGCAATCTTATTCCCTGAACATAAATCTTATTCAACTATAAAATAATTTAACTCTCTCTCACTTCGTTGTTGAAGAGAGACTTTCCATGAGTATTTCGAATCGTGTGAGAGACGCCTTGATCTTATAAATAGCGACTCGAGAAATTCAGATTTTTGTGATATATGAAATAAATTTTCATGCCTTCGTGGATTTATCTTTCCATAAGAAAAAAAAATTACGAAGAAATTCCTTCAACCCCTCTGCCCTCTAGCCAACCGAAATATATTATTTTATCTCGGAATCTCGCTCAATCTATCATGTCTGATTTGTTTGTTTCTTACTTGTTTACAAACAAAATATTAAAAAAAAAAAAACTTCATTATTATTTCAATTTTTGTTTTGTTTTATTACGTCGCCGTTTCGTTAGTTTTAGTTTTTAATTATAATACCTTTTTGTTAATTGTATCAATTTGTGTATAAATACATTTTAGTATGTATTCATCATTATAAATTTTTCTGATATCTCAGATTCCATAGATTGAGTTGCGTTATATGAAGTAAAGCATCTTAACACTTGTATATACGTAGTTAAAGAACAATTTTTCGTTTATACTGGTATAAAAGAAATAAAAAAAAAATATTTATTTTATTTTATTTTTTATAAACTAAATAATTTGTATTGTACGCAGAAAAAGCATAATACAAAAATATTTATAATTGAACTGAGGTTTACCCTTATAAAGTAAAATAAAAATAAATTATGAAATTAGTTAATGTGAATATATTATATATATATATATATATATATATATATATATATATATATATATATATATATATACTTTTTTTTTTTTTTTTTTTTAACACAGAATTTAGGTATAAAAATACACTGATTTTCAGATATTGATTTAATCATTTATTACCCAGTATAATTCAAAAATAGTTAGGAGATAAAATGTATTAATTATTAATATCTTAATTTAAAAAAAAAAATATGAATTTATCTTACTTCGATGATAAGATTAAGTTATATTTCACAATAAAAAAAACGGATTATCATGAATTGATACGGTTAATTATAACTTAATCATTTCGTACAAGAAGAGGTTTAGTTGAATAAAACTGAATTCGGGATAAAAAAAAAAACCGAGAAAAAGGTAAATGTATCGTAAGCCATTTTTGTGGGTCTGGACATGTTTTTTTATCTATAAACTATAAATACGATCTCTCCTTCTACGTTTTGGTTCTACGATAGATTTCTGATTTTGTAAAATTTATTTGAAAACAATATTTATTATAAAAAAAATAGTAAGAACTAGACTTTTTAACACTGACTTTTATCAAATCATAGAATTCTTAAAATAAAACTCCGACATAGAAAAATGAGATACTTCGAAGAACCTATATTTACTTATAAATAAAACCCCTGTTATATGTCAGAAGGATGTTAGAAAATTTAAAAAAAAAATGAAAAAGAAAGAAATATGACCTCTAAAACAAAACCCTTTTGCAAAAAAAAATAAATAAATAAAAATATGCATTGGATAATTAAACTACTAATCACTTAGGAAGTGCATGGTACTGCAAAACGTTTTTGTATCCTGCAATTGGTTAATGCAAAAATGGAATACGCTGATTGGGAATACTAATAATACTAATCTCGGGTTCGTCCTTAGAATATTCCGTATTTATTTTATTAATTTATTATTATGTTTTTGTCTTATACCTCTTGTTATCGTAGGAGTGGTTCCCGAAGACGGGTACCATTAAGAGCCGAGAGGGAACCCCGAAGATCAGCGATCATGAGATGATTCAAGCCCCCGCTGGTTCGGACAAGGGTCACATCTATTACGGAGATAAGACCCCGTGTACGCGGGGTAATAACTTATCGGACCGGCTGGAGACAACATGGTATCGTTATGGACAATGCAATAATAATTTAAATATAATCTATCGTCTTTATACGCTTCGCTACGATAGCATGTTTTCGCCGACTCCTCGTGTCTCATTCCTTTGATCTATCGGTCGTACCGTTCAGTACTTGCTCTTTCAGTTTGTCTATGATCATCGACGGTAAATGGGGGTCGTAAATTTCTCTATAAAAACAAAAGAGTCGTTATATGATCAGTGGAATACATTACTTTATAAATTATGCTTTTTTTGTGTTGGTGTATTTAAAATTATTAAATATATAATGACTTGTCTGAATCCAAATGACATTTGGCAAATATTACGATGCACTCACTATGTTTTTGTATAGTTAAATAAGGTCGAAAATTCATAGAAACGTACTTAAGGTTTAGGTTTAACAAACTAATCAATAAATTACATAAGCAAAGATCTACTATTTATATACTATTTAACACCTAAATTAAATTATTACAAAATTTATATTCCTGAAATATTTACTTTTCTAAAACAAATTAATATTTATGAAATGATTTAGAGACATATTATTTTTCGAATGCGAATATGAATTTCTAATGTGGGAACTTTTTTATTATTATCTTTCTGATACTTTTATTTTATTATATTTTTTCTTCAAATTTTTAATCCTTGACATAGTTTTTATATATTCTTTTTGTTGTAAATTATAGAATATGAACTGTTATTTGTGTCCCATTATAAATCCTCTTTATCGCACGTCGGCAAACACCTCCGTTATGGATTGAATTGAAAATCTAAGTAATAAATAAAAAAGAAATAAAAATATTTATATATAAGCCTACAAAAATATATATCTATCCTTTAGGAAAAATAGGTAAATGAGAGATTAAGACAAGTAAAAATCCAGCGGGAAATATTAGAGGACAGCTAAGACAGATATAGGAGAGGGAAAATGACGACAGAGATAAAAATAGGGAGGGAGAGGAGGAAGAGGTGAATGGGTGTAAGACGATTAGGGAGTGAATTGAGCCGGGCAACAAGTGTCGGAAAAAGGGGGTGCACTCCCTGCCACTCCCGGGGGAGGTCGACCACTTTTATATACTAGCAATTAGCTCTCTACTCCGTCCGCTTCTTCTTCTGTCTTATTCCTAATATCTTATTCTCCTTCCTTCTCATTTTCTCTTCTTCTTATCGTCAGATTGTACGGATTGCGGAGTATATGTTAAGAAATTAGAAAAATAAATCATGATAAAATGCAGTTAACTAATAGAACCACGGACTATATAGACCCGCATTTTAGAAAAGTTAAACTGTGATTTGATAAATCATTGGTTTAATTGATAAATATTGGGTTAAAATTTAATAATTAAAAAATAAGCTTTGTTACCAACATCAACAATTTCCCTTCTAATAAATATAACATGGAATACTCATATTTCTTTCTCTGAAATGGTAGCAGTATTTTCGGTAAAACTTGGTAGACGGTTTATATAATTTCAAAAGTAAAAGCTGTACACAATTAGACAAGAATATTTTTTCTTCAGGATCATGTTTCACATATACCATTTTATAGTATCGTATTTGATATATTTTATTTAAACCTTAATATTCGAGATTTAGGTGTACAGAACCACATTCATATTATTATTATTTCCTCTTTCTATTTAAAAAATCAATAATTGGTACATTGTTCACCGAAAAATATTCATGTCGAATGGTTTACAACTTGATCATTTAAAAATATTAGAATCCTGATTTTGAACAAAAAATATTCTATTTATAAGTCAATAAATATAAGATACATTATGGACAATAACTAGAGTAAATAAAACAGATTTTAATATCAATTTTTAATTTTTTTTAATTCTTCACCGAATAATCAACCAATTTTCATGAGTGCACAGCTGCTGCATTGACCAAAGTGCTTTCGGTTTTTCTGTTTATTTTTATGTCACTATGATACACTTCTTATCTGATGAATTAATCCCTAAGGTGGATTGTTGTCTGTCAATAACTACATACATACACATGACATATACATAGTCAATATGTCAATAACTACATCTGTTAACTATTGTTGAAACTAGCTTAGTATTGTGTTTGCTATTGAACCGTGAATATGGAAAAATATCATTCATTCCCGGCATATTTTGTTGTATTGTTTTAAAAAGGGTAAGATATTGTAAATAAGTATGAATGTGTTTTTATTTATTTTTTTTATTTAATCTTGTCTCATGTTTGATTTATTATCTGTTATTCTAAGTTTTATTTTGATATAATCTTATTTTTCTTTTATTGTATATATGGCATGTTTGTGTTTTATTCATCCTAAATACTCAATGTCCTTAATAGAGGCAAAATGTATTTTTTTCTCAATAAAATATTATTAAATTAAAATAAAAGGGCAAGCGTGCTGCAAAAGCTCATGGAAAAATTTGCAGTGTTTATGAGGTTGAGGCCTTAACCGAATGCACCAATCAATTTGGTTTGCCAAATTTCATTCTCTGATTTTGATTTTGACATCAATGATGCTCAACGGTCTGGTCGCTCACATGGAATTGAAATGAGCAATGTTAAGGAACAAATATAAATCATATGGCTATAAAGAGCAATACTTCACCTTTCCAGCGGATACAATAAGGTGTTGTGTTCCACTAAGACAACGGTAGACCCCTCACCTCATTGGTCGCTCGCAATAAATTACTGAGCCTTGGATGGGACCATTTGCCCTTCCCTCCCTATTCACCAGACCTAGCTCCAAGTGACTACCACTAATTCCGGTCTCTGCAGAACTCCATGAATGGAAAGAAATTCCACAAGCAAGAGGACATAAAAAACCACTTGGATCAGTTTTTTAACAATAAACTCCAGACATTCTATGAACATGACATTATGCAGTTAGTGAAAAGATGGGAAAAAGTCATATTAAATAATGATCAATATATTGTAGATTAAAATTAATTTTATGTCAATAATACATTGAGTTTTATTTCACTCTGAAAAATCGAAAACACTTATTTGCCAACCTAACAAAACATGTATTAACTAATTATTTATTTAATTGATCTGTTAACTGGGTATGAGGATATATCTCTTTCTTTCTTTTATAATATGGTATAAAATATTTTGTCAAAATAAATAAAACCAATAAGATAAAAAATGACTTCCTTTTATTACTCGAGGTGTGATGAAATTACATATAATCATGAAGAAAAATTCCCCATCGTGAAACGTTTGTTGTGCAGAATTTTATCCCCCGGTTAACACGTTAAGAAATCCCTAACAATAAATTCTAAAAATTGAAAAAAAAATCTATAATGTAAAATGTGGATATAAATAAATAAATAATATATATATATATATATATATATATATATATATATATATATATATATATATATATATATATATTTAAAGATACACAAATCATGAAACACAAAGCTTGGAAACGGAATGAATCGCCATTAACTCTGACTTAATTAATTACACACAAATGAAATTAAATTAAGGTAATATAAATTTAATTACAATTTACTTACAGGCTCCGGTTTATCAAATGAACAAATGAATTAGATAAAACACTCACCTGAAACAAATAAATTACAAATTAGGTTTTAATTGTTAAAACAGCATTTTAATATAATTTGTTAAACATTTTAATAATAAATTTACCGGTTCATTAAACGCTAAATGGTATGGAAATTAGAGCTTAATTGAATTACGATTATTATTTGTATACCTGTTTAGAGAATTTATTTATCAGTTTCCTTATCATGATGTGATTCGGATGTTCGTTAAAGCATATTCTGTTGGTATTTGGAATAATCAAATTTGAAAAAAACAATAACTAATGTAGAAAATAATAGATTATTTCAAACCAGAAACCAACATTATTTCATAAAACCTCCAACTCCTTAAAAACAAAACATTCTTCTTTAATTATTTTGTAAAGCTAAGTTCGAATATAATATACATACATATGCGCCTTTCAGTTGACAGAATGACTAACTCCAATTTCAACATTTTTGATTAATAATTATAGTGATATTTCTAGTAGGAAAATGTATACCTTTATTCAAAGTTCTACATTTCAACACTAAAATCAACTATTCTGGAATCAACTTACTGTCTGTACTGTCATGATAAATTTTCCAACCATAAATATCACTAAAATGACTTCTCAAAAATATTAAAATTGGAGATAGTCATTCTGCTCATATATTGAATACATAGTTTAGCTTATATTTGTACTTCAGCTTTGAAGTGAATATATTTTTTTATATGAGGCTTTTTTTTTTTTGTAGGTAAAGAACCAAATGATAGCTAAATACTTTTGCTTTACTTAGAGGGAATTCATAATTTTTATATTGCGTACTGAAGTTTTACAATCTAAAACTAAATTTTCCCAATGAATTTTCTTAATTTTGCTTTTATTTTATATTTTACTGTAAGTTTTATTATATTTATATTTCATAGAACCAATACTTTTCAGATATAAATACTTTAAATTTTTAAAATACTTTTTGAAATTAAGAATATAGAAAAGTTGAAATTAAAAATTAAACTTGCTGAAAATTTTAAATAATGAGATATTTCTAAACAAACGTTCTTAGTAAAAATAAAAAATAATTTAAAATACAACTTCTACATTAGTTTTTATTATTTAGATTTGAAATTATTCACATAGAATTTTAATAAGAAACGGCCATATTTATATGTATGAGTTCAATACATCAATGCAAGAAAAGTAATAATGAATAAAAACATATAATAATAATATAAAATATAATAAAAATATGATTCTAAGCAACCAATGTATTTATTAAATGAAAATTATGATACAGAATACTTTGAACTCAATCGTACGTTGTTTTCACAAGATTTGTAACTATAATTACAGCACTAATACAATGTACAAGATATATCCTATGAGATTATAAAAACGTTATCCCACAAACACCCTAGGGAAACCTGATACAATTTAATCGGTCCCCATTAAGAAATATCTGATTTTTTCTTCTTTTTTTAAAAAAAAAAAATCTTCATTCTCGCTAAATTATACAATTACTTTGGACATGACTGAATTTTCAGACATGCGATAAGAGCTAAATTATTCCGCCAGAGGGCAGC